TATTATTGGCATGTCTTTCCACTTCTTTCTCTTCTTTATTTCTGAGAGGTTTCTTCTTTTCTTTTTCTCCTTTTCTTGCAACTCCAGTGGTTTAGGATCTGAAAAGCCTTCTCTCTTTCTTCCCAAGGCCATAACAGGAATGAGCCTGGTGTTTATATTTGTCCGATCGAAACAAGTTCAGCGAAAGAGAGACTAAGCTTCTCTCGAGGCCGAGCCTATAAAGTGTCAGTGCAAAGCCGAGGATTAGAGTAAGGTTGTTATAGTTGGCTTTTGGCAAGGAAACTATAAAAATAGAGCGTTTTGGAGATGATTGTAGCGCCGCAGGAATTGTTCGATAAATCGCGAGCCAGGCAGGAGGGTCCCGGACAGGTGCACCGTGGGTCCAGTTCAGTAAGTCCGGAATGAGCTGGGAGAGAGGCCCGACCCCACGGCAGCGCTGGGCCGGGGCTGCGGCTCAGGACAGAGCCCGCTGAGGGAGCGGGAGCGGCCCGGGGATGCTCGGCCGTGCCCCGGCGCTGGCACCGCCAAGCCTCGGCCCTGCCCGCTCCCCTGTGCGCGCTGTGGCCGTGGGAAGCGAGGAGGGCAGAGACAAGGAATCCTCCCTGCGGCCGGGAGAGAGGAAGAACGATGTATTCCCGTGCAGGGGAGGCAGCGGGTATTTCTCTAGGGAAAAAGCGAGGGAGAATGTTGTGCTGGGGGCCTTTCAACACCCGAGGGGATTGCAAAAGCACACGCACAGTATCCCCAAACCCGCCTAGGAACCAGCGCGGGGAGAAGGTGAGGAGCTGCTCCTGCGGCCGCGCCACCCACGCCCGCCGCGCTCCCGCCGTGGCCCCGCAGCCGCTGCTCCCCCGGGGCCGAGCTCGGCATCTCCGCTGCTCTGCACAGAAGGAGAGCTGCCCGGGCAGCGCGGCCAGCGACGGTGCACTCGCCCCCCCGCTATTCTTTATTATTATTATTATTATTATTATTATTATTATTATTATTATTATAGAAACTAAAGCCCATCTCGCTCACCCGCGCTCGCAGTGGTGGTCTGGGGAGACTTGTCAACACCGATTTCGTGATAAAATGTGAATGATGATTTTATAAGGATTGAGCGGAGATATCCAAGGCGCACGCTGACTGAGTCCTTCCAGTCCTCATTAATGTTAGTAATTAACTCTTTCACGCTCAATTAGCCCCAAATAAACCTGCTTTAATAGATTCTGCACACTTCATTAATACTTTGAATAAATCTGTGTTGAACAATGCATTTTATTCCTCAAGAGCACCACGCTCGAAAAATGAGGAGGGAAAGGGCAGTTTTATTCCCTTTCCACTTAGTTTCCCAAACACAGATAACTTACAAGCTCCATTTCTCGGCGTTAACTTTAGGAAGGGAAACTTTCTTCCCCTCAAAGGACACAAAATAAATAACCGACCTGGTGGCAAAATGCTGCACACCGGTGCGTGCAGCCGAAAGGACAGGGCTACCAGACTTGAAAAAATTCAGCGAAACTGGGGAACATTTTTTTTTTACGGAAGAACCTGATTGCTGTAGTTTGTCGCAAGAATGCATCATTTTATGTCCGCTACTTTGTCATGTTTGTAAAAATAAGCAACGTTCTCAGGGTAATTTACCTCCTCCATTCTTCCATGTGGAACTAATTAGCAAACCTCATTATTTATGAGTCAGGTATTTAATGTAACAAATATCCCTTTCAAAGGATACATCGGAAATTGATAATTCAATGTAGAAAGGAAAAATACCGACTAGTCACAAGATTACTTAAAAATCCATTTAATTTCTCCTCTTGCTGTGCTACCAGCAGAAAACCGGGTCTATAATTTTTTTTTTTCTGGCGTATAGAGTAGGTAGAATTTAATCTGGAAGGTTCAAGATTGAAATGGTTTTAAAACAGTGGCAACTGGACAATAGCATTACCGTATCTTCAGTCAGGGCAAAGGGTAAGAAAGCTGGAGACAGATGTAGACTTTCAAGTTTATGATCCTATTTTGCAGGGTAAATTTATCTTGGCATGAGTGGGTTTTGTTTCAGTCAGAACACAAGTGTTTTGTTCTTAATTACTCACCGAGCTACTTTGTGTTAAAAAAGAAAACCCCGTACAGTTTTATTGCAATGGGGGAATTCAAGCAGAGAACTCGCGGGGTCTTCTTCTGTAAAAAAAGAGAAAAAAAAAGAAGACCCGATAACGATCTGTTTACATGAAGCAGAATTAAAGGTGGAGGTGACACCGAAATCAAAGAAACGTTGATCTCTCTGCGGGCAAGTGGGAGACCAGAGAGCTACTACACTGTGAAACACATTGGCTTTGATGTCCCGAAGCGAGGGGACTTTATGAAATGGTCTGCTCTTCATCCATATTTTCGACTATCCCGGTCGTACAGAGCAAAAGTGTAGCTTACATTTCTGGAAAAGTGCCAAAAAACTTGTAGTAACATGAACAGTCTGCTCCTGCCTCCTCTTTCCTTCTTATTTTCTCCTCCTCTCTCTTTTTCTTTTTTTCCCTTGTCGTCTTTTGCTTTTTCATCCTTTTTAGGATTTTTTTTTTAATTTAACAGAACTTCTCTAGCAAGAACCAAAAAACTGCGGGTGTAAGGGATGATATTATGACCTGACTGCATTTCTCCTTGATTTGTGCCTTGTTCTTTATTGGGAAAATGTTAAGAGAATTTTTAAAATATTTTCAAGCGAGAATTTACCCATATTGACGTAGTAGATTTCTGCTTATATATTCCATATTAAGTGTTTGCTAAGAATACAAAGAAAGAAAGAGGGATAAATATCATTTGCAGTAACTGGTTTCATATTTGAGAGATCTAGAGCTACCTAGACAGAGAAATGGACATGGAGCCATTGTGAAGGACAGAAATAGACATTTTTCAGGTACCCAGACGAGAGGACAAGAGTGTTTTCTGTGCACTTTGTTCTTGGGGTCACCAGCTGAGGCATTTGTGCTGTGATGTGGACATGCTTAGTGTATAGGCAGCACTAACTAAATAAAAGTATATCCCCAGTAGAGCAACAAAACAGTCTGGTTGGTTCAACAGCCCTAAATAGTTTAGGGGGAAAAAAAAAAAAACCAACCAAAAAAAAATCCCCAAGCACAAAACCTCCCACCAAAACAAAACAAAACAAAACAAAAAACCCAATCCCCAAAAAAATAGAAATAGGGAAAAAAAGAGGAAAGGGAGGAGACTAGAGAATATAATGTGTGCATTTTTCAATTAGTCACTATCAGAAATGTATCCAATTGAAAACCAAAAAATGTCACAATCTCTTATTCTGGGTCATTGCAGTGGAATTCCTCTAAGGTTTGAGTCTCTCTTCCTGCTGCTGATTTATGTAAAGCAGAGTGAAAGGTGGGCCTGGAGTATAGAGCTGCTCAGAGCAAGCTTCTCCCTCTCACACCCTCCCAGCCACAGCTCCTCTTTCCAGGCAACAGCACACATATAAATCAGATTTGTTTCCCTGGTCTTTAGACCTCTTCCACCAGCAGTTTGCACACCCCCAGACTTCCAGCTCAGAGGGACAATTACTGCTCTGCTGTACTTTGCTGCCTCTTTCTCCAAAGAGCCTTCACTCTTCACATGGGGATGAACTCTAATCTGAATACTGCGAGGACCCTGCTGGAGTCCCCTGTGGGGATCTCGTGGGGGAACCTGCCGAGGCTCAGCAGGAACCCAGTCAGGATCTTACAAAGATCCTGTTGTGTGGATCCTGTGGGAACACTGCAGCAAACATGTGGGGATTCTGGCAGCAAATAGCCCCACTGAAGGCCAGTCCCAGAGCTCACTGAGGGGAAAGTGAGTATAAGTTAAGGGCTGTGGAGTAAGGAGGAGGCTCTCTGGTCTGAAGGGATATGATTCTTCCAAAAGCCATGGGTGCTCTCTCACACCCACAAAGGGAGGAAGCTGTGTCCCCACCAACAACCCTTGGGAGGCATCCACTGCCAAATGGTTGACAGCAGCCAGGGCTGAATTTTCAGATTGGGCCAGATGTGCCTGAATGCTGCTGCCTTGTAGCATTTTCCCCTCCGTCTTATGGGGTGGGACATGTAGGGATCTGGCCCAGAAGAGAGGCTAGGGGCTTGGCAGGACCCTGACACCCAGACCAAAGTGGTGGCACCCAGCCCAGGGAAGGGCTGAGGCCCTGCAGCTGCTGGTCTGGGTGCCCCATGGGAAGGGTCTCGCCAGTCCTCGTCTTTTAGCCTTTTGAAGAGCTCTAATTAAGCAATTGCTTAGATTAGGAAGTGGGTTTGAAGCCAGGCACTTCTCCCTGGGAAAAGCAAATGGCATTTCAGGTTTGTCACGCAAATTCAACATTTTCCTGTTTCTTTTTGCAGTACACAAGAGGGAGGACTTCGGCAGAAATCTTTCCCATAATGTTTTTTCACCAAAATTATTTTATTTTTCTGAAAGAGGGAGAGCATGCAGTTCTTCATCACCTCAGAGTCTTGGCTGAGGCCAGACCACAGGGAGCTGAGTGACCCAGGAGCAGGAAGCTCCTCACCCTTCCCTGTGTCACCTCAAGAGCCAGGGCAAAATGCAGCTTCTCTGGACAGATGTAGTGCGCAGTAACTCACTATTTTCTAAAAGCTGAGGTCACCTAGGAAGGGATTTTTAATTACTGGGAAATGACTGAGATTTTTGGGCCAAAAACGGCATCTCGGCTGTCCCTGTGTATAAGATCATTGGAAGTCTGCACAGCAGGGGATGCTGCTGGGAAGTGAATGATTGTGGATGCAGTGCAATATTTGTGTGCAAGAGAGAGATGGGGAGAGGGAGAATCTGGGGATGCACTCACAGCAAAGACCTGGCGAGGCCTCTAATTCCAAGGCAACCTCTTCCTGCAGCTTTGGAGAGGGATATTGATTAGGGGTGAGGTAAGGTGCTTTGATTTTAATATAAATCTACTTCTTCCTCTTCCCCTCCCATCTTTATTTTCCAGATATTTTCCTCCCCTGTTCCGAAGATCCTCCTCCTGAGCGGCCACCATGGGAAGTAAAACCCTGCCGGCGCCAGTGCCCATCCATCCTTCCCTGCAGCTCACCAACTACTCCTTCCTGCAAGCATTCAACGGGCTGCCCGCCGTGCCCTCCGACCACCTCTCCAACCTCTATGGCTTCAGTGCCCTGCACGCCGTGCACCTGCACCAGTGGACTCTGGGCTACCCGGCCATGCATCTGCCCCGCTCCTCCTTCTCCAAAGTGCCCGGCGTCTCCAGTCTGGTGGATGCACGGTTCCAGCTGCCCACCTTCCCGCTCTTCCCACATGTCATCCAGCCCAAGCAAGAGGCTGCCAACATGACCCTCAAAGCCAAACCCCGCTTTGACTTTGCCAACTTAGCAGTGGCTGCCACGCAAGAGGACCACTCTAAACTGGGACAGGCAGACAGTCAGGGCTCACCAGCAGGGTTGGGGTCATTGCTTGAGGTGACTAAACTCTCTCCAGAAAAGAAACCCACGCGGGGAAGGTTACCGTCCAAAACCAAGAAGGAGTTTGTGTGTAAATTCTGTGGCAGGCACTTCACCAAGTCCTACAACCTTTTGATCCATGAACGAACCCACACCGATGAACGGCCCTACACATGTGATATTTGTCACAAGGCTTTCAGAAGACAGGATCACCTGAGGGATCACAGGTAACTATTTTTCTTTTCCTGTTCTTTTTCCCTTGTGTATTTGTACTCTCCCAGTTACCAATCCACACTCAAGATTTTTATAAGAGAAGTTAAGTACTCATCCAACCAAGAGTGTTCCCTCTAGTTTTTCCTCTGCCCACTGTTGGTGGAAGGGCCCAGGTAACTCACAGTGGAAGACGTACCTCACTCACTCCATAAAGACAACTTTCACAACCTCCTTTTTACTTCTACAGATGTTTTCACCCTCCATTTGCATCATGTGTCCTCTGCCTCTATGATCACTCAGAAGTGTCATGAAAACACACAGCCTGGTGACCCCAAAGTAAAAGAGAAGTTCTTTATCCCTAAGAAGGGCACCCTGTAATGATGCACCCTCTGATGGCCCCCTCTCTTGCACACATACATACCAACACTAGCCCAAGGACCACGCTCCAGCACTCTCAATCTCAGCAGTAGGTGTAAGAAATGTCCAGCCCATTCTCCCTCAGGTGGCTCGCTGCTGAGTTTAGGCCAGTTATTTCTGACATGTCAATTGTTTTTCTCTCTCTAGATATATCCATTCTAAAGAAAAGCCTTTTAAGTGTCAAGAATGCGGGAAAGGATTTTGCCAGTCCAGAACACTAGCGGTCCACAAGACACTGCACACGCAAGTAAAGGAACTGAAACCCGCCAAACTTAAGTGTTGAATCTCCATCTTCTATGAACATTTCCTCCCCTTCAGACTTTACACCAAAACTAGAGCAGAAGCAAAACTTTCAGGATGGGAGCACTGGAGTTTGTGCTTTGCTTTTGTTTCTACTTTAAAAAGGGCAAAATCTGCACCCCTTCCATTTCCTGTCCAAGCAGTTAACTTCCTAAGTCGTGGGTGAAAAGATTATTTTGAGTTTAAAATATACGTGAATGATACAGGGAGTGCTAGCTGACTTGTGTGGCTTTGATAAACTTTATGCCAAAAGGTGGTGCTCACGTGTTGGACAGGAATCTCTTTAAAACCAAACAAAAACCCGCAAGACACCCCCGACCAACCCTGCCCCCCCCCAAAACAAACCCCAAAAAACAACCAAAATCGTAGCTTCCAAAAGTATTACTTAAGAAAATCCAAACTCTTATTTTATACTTTTTTTTTTTTTGACTGTATAAAGCTTCTTATTTTTACACTTCAGGAAATACAAAGAATTCCAGAAGACAATTAAGAACTGAAACGGTGGTTTCTCATCACAGCACCATTAAGACAAGGAGAGGGGCAACTTGCAAATCTCATGTGCTAGTTTGTTTTCAGAAAAGAAGAAAATTAATGTTTGGAAATGACCTGAGTCTCTCAAGTGGGGAGTTCTATCATGCGTTAGAAAATGCATCCAGATCTCAGACCCACGCGTTCCTGGTGTTGGGACAAATCAGTGTTCATGGGACATGGAGAACTTTTTTATTACCTTGTGGTCTGGTGTGCTGTGAAGAAGTTTGTAACTTCTGGACTTATTTAAAAAACCCAGAGGAAAGAAAGATGGCAATACGTCAAACTGACGGTATGCACAACGTGGTTTTAGTGGTACTTAAAGTCTTCGTGTGTCCTGGTGTGAGAGAACAAATCTCAACTTGAGAGCATATTTTTTCAAATGCTGGCTTTCTGAACAGTGTATTCAAATTAAGAGACATTCCAATAAGTTCTGTTTATTAAAAAAAAAAAAAAGTTGTATGGCTGTTTGGCACTTTATGCTGATTATTGGTAATTGACATTTATCACTGGATTGTGTGTGGTTTTTAAGTATTAAAATAAATTGTTATTTTACAGGCAAGTCTGCATGGAATACATATGTGTTCATTTTGTTTCTGATCTCTGATCTCTTCCCTGGTAAACCCTCTGTGTCAATATTCAGAACGTATTTATTTTTTGATAGTTTTTTCTTAGTTAGTTAAATTGTTATTTTCTCAGTGGTTGTTTCTACCGGTCTACCTAAAAAGTCTGGATCTTTTTTCTATGCATTAGCTTTCCTCCTTCTAATTTTCCTTTTCTTCTCTTTTTCTTTTTTTTTCTGTTTTTTTTTTTCATTTTCATTTTAATTTTCTTTTTTTTTCTTTTTTTTTTTTAAGTCATGACAAAAGTAAACATCTGCGGAGAGTCCAATAATTTTGCCACTAGTGAGGAAAAAAAAATCGTCTTCGGCAACTAAATCGTGGGTATTAGGTGATATCTGATAAGATTAGGTGTCAGAAGTGTTATAAAACAAATCAGATGAGTAATGGGCGAGCTGCGGCTGCTCTCGGTGCCTGGAGGCGCTGCGGGGAGAGACGCCTTCGCACCCCCATTCCCGCCTTTGTCCAGAGAGGGCATTTTTCAGTCACATCTTCGGCCCGCTGCGCGCTGATTGGGGCGGCCTTTGATTCCCGGCAGCTGTCTTAGATCAGAGATGTTTATTCCACTGCGAAACCTCTTTGGATCGAGACGGGGGAGAGAGCGCAGCGCTGGGGCACCCGCCCGAGCCTTTGAAGCGCCTCTTGCCGCCGTCGTTTCTCGTCCTCTCGGCAAACCCTAAACCTTCCTCCTCCCGTCACAAGTCAGTGCCCCCGCGATAAGAGAAGCCTCTTTTTTTTGCAAATTAACGACGGGGCAGAGGTGACCTTGGAGCTGCCCAGCGGCTCCTGCGCGGCCGGAGCGCGGATGCTCGCCGAGCCAGCCGCTCGGTCCGGTGCGGCTCCTTTCGCCTTCCCCCCTGCCGCTTTTAGTAATTATTTATTTATTTGGTCAAAGAATCCTATCAGGGACAGGGAAAAAGGTGCGTTTCTAACTCATTTAGTGTAAGGGGAGGGGGAAGAAACATCTCTCCCCCTCTTATTTATTGGACACTTATTCCAGCGCACCGTAACTAATGAAAAGGCACTTGCAGGACGGGCTGCGGACCCACCTCCAACGTGGGAAGGCCCTCGGGGAACTCGGGATGCGAAGTGCCGCCTGTGCCTGCATCCAGCGCCGGGGGCTGGGAGCACGGACAGAGTTTGAAGCTGGCTTTGCTTCGGCTTTGCTTCGGCTTTGCTTCCCACACGCACTGGCTTCTCACGCTGCGAGAAGGCTTTTGGCTTTGGCAGCTGAAAAGCAGCAAGTGAGGGGTGCGGGGTGAGGTCCGCGGTAACCTGCAGGCAGCCGGCAGGGCCGGCCCTGCGCGGGAGGAGGGCGGGACGAGCGCGGAGCCCTGCGCGCCGCTCCGCTGCGCTTTCGGCATCTCCTGCGCGGAGCCCGGCCGCAGCGCGGAGCATCCGCCGCGGCGCTGGCTCGGCATGTTTGCTCGGCAGCTCTTCTCGGAGGCAATTTGAAGGTGTCGTCTCCCGCGCCTCTCCCCGGTCCTCCGTGGGGGTTTAGAGGGATTGCCTTGCACAAACCCCGCGGGAGCGGCCGCCTTTCCGCGGCGTGGGTCGCTGCCCCGGAGCGCTCCGTGCGACACGCCAGCCCCGCTGCCCCGCCAGGGCACCGCATCCCGCGCCGCGCCGAGCACTGACACGCAGCCTGAAGGCTGGGTGGTTCATCCTCCTCCGTGCCCTTCCAAACGGAGAATCAGAGAGAAAATCCCCGATGGACTTCCCCGTCCTTCTTGTGTCGCTCCTGGTACCAAGTAAGGGAACAAGGATACGCCCGGGATCCTGTCGCCGAGCGAGAGAGTAAAGGGCGCTGTCGCTCGGAACCAGGTTTTCAGGGGTCGTAACTACGAGGCAGAAACCCGAGTCGGGTGCACAGGGAGGGAGGAAGGGACTCAGGTCACTCCGCTGACGCTTTCCCACGGTCGCTCCACCGCCTCCTTAACACCGGGAAACCGAAACACCCGTGGCGAGGTAAGAAACCGTGTCAGTGACTGGTTCCTGGGAACCATTAGAGCTGCGGGGTCGCAAAGGTGGAGAAACCACTCCTCCCAGCTGGGCATGAGAAGCGTTTCATTTGAAAAGCTGAAGCTTGGGGATCTGACTGCCAAGAATTTCTTGGGACCTGCATTTTTATGTGCAATTAAAAAGAAAAAGAAAACCTCCAGAACTGACATAATTGGAAATGCAGATGTATTAAAACTACGTGGGCATGCCGAGCACAGGATGCACATACAACCTCTCAATGCCACTTGTAGTACACTTAAATATGTGTGTATTTCCTCCTTCCAGAAGGCCACTTTTGCCCTGGTGCTAACAAAGGCTATCTATCTGGTCATGCTCCCAGCTGCACGGGGGAACAGTTTGCCTTTTCCTTCCAGCATTTTGAAATTTGCTAGGCAGTATCAGTTCAGCGATTCCAAGGAAAGCAAAGTAAAGATGAAATCATGAGTCAGAAGAGATAAGTTGTACTAAACCCCAAAATAAATGAAAGGAATTAGATGGGAAATGTGCCTTTTGAATCAGGATCACAATTTAAATGATTAATTGCCTTCCCTCTCTTTCTTTTTCTTTTCTACCTTTGCAAGTGTTTTATTTTGACATTCATGCAGTGAATAAAACTTACTTAGGCCTCTGTCTGCCAATGGAGAGCTGATTCTGTTTTCACAGTTGCTTTAAATTTTGCATTTTCATCATAAAAACATCCCTGAATGGGAGTTTGCAAGAGTAAAAAACCGGGCACCTGACTCTAGTTGCCCCTTCCTGCAGGATTTATAAAGGAAGCACAGATTTTTAAATTTTAATAATTTTTTTAACCATTTCCAGTTACAGAAGGAAAACATAAAGATGTGTTGGCACATCTCTTGCTCTCTTTCCCCCTCTTTGCATTCCAGTCATTCTTTTTCTGCCCATAAACTGTTAGTACTCCACAAGAGCCTGATTCTGCACAGCCTACTAAGCCTGTCTTTTTTTTTGGATGCCGGAAGAAATCCTGTCAGATGGGGTCTTCAGCGTACATTCATGAAACAGAGCAAAATCCTCTCTCAGAATGTGCACTGGAACAGCAAATAGTTACTTTTCAGCTGTGGATTGCATGTGCCTCTGAAAAAGGGACCACAAATCATTGGGTTTTTAAAGGTTCCGCATGAGTTGTATATTAATCCCAGTTTCCCTAGGGATGGATTAATCCCAGCTTCCCAGTTGTGTGGCTAGAGACAATGTGGATGGGGTTGGGGGCAGGGGAGAAGAGAGATGGGGAAAGGAGAGGGAAAATAAAAGATATATCACAGGAATACATGGCCTAAGTGGCGAGGAGCCATAAGTAGTTTCAATACCTTTTCTACCTCTGTCACCACGTGTAAGCTGAAGTAACTTAGGCTCCCTCTTTTGGTTTCTTCATCTATAAATTGGGGTAATGCTGCTGATTTTGGTCCCAGGAGACTTGGCACACTCATGTAAAAACTCCTGCTCAACCCTCAGTAGTGAAAGGAGAAACTCTAATTTGTCTGAGGGCAACTGAAAGCAGGGCCTGATCTGGGTGATCTAATGGACTGTGGACGACAAATTTATATTCACGTGTAATTCTTTTCCAGCCCTGGCAGTTTTGTTGAGAGATGGAGTCCTAGAGCCCAGTATGCTTTTCTTCTCTACATTCCTATCCAGTGACTACACAGGAGGAATGGCATGGGCCAAATTCATCCCTGGTGGGACTCCAATGACATCAGTCATCTTTATAGGAGTTTTTTGAATGAAGTCAATTGGGTTTTACAAGGACCAAGTTTGGCCACATGCATATTTAACTGCTCAGAGAGCTACAGCAGTGAATGAAGCTTCCCTTCCC